AGGTATTAGACTTAGCTCTCACTCTACTTCCCAGGGAAAAATTCCACATCATAGAGAGGTCTTCTTGTTTGTGCCTCTTTGCCCCCATGATGGGGTTTCTTTATTGACAAGTACATTTGTCTCTCCTGTTAGCTTCTGAGTGCTGTCTATTTATCCATTACTATAGATGTTCTTTAGTTCTGGGATACAGGTCTGCTTCTGTGCAGAGTAGGTCACATTTAGATGTTTATTTGCTGTGAGAAGAAGTAAGCACAAATTCTCCCTATGCTACCATCTTTGGTATTTTTTGCTTTCTTATAAAATCACGAGTTTGTGTTGGTATTCTCATTCGCCTTTACGTGACAGAACATTTTTCTTTATCTCTTGAATTTTAGATCTGTATCTCTTTTTCTAAAACCATAAAACTTGGCTTCTAATATCATTAATATATTTACTTTTTGCTTTGTTATTATCCTATATATATTTATGGAGTAGTTTCAAATATAGTTTTAACATTTCTACAAATAATAAATCTACTGGGTAATGCTTATGACTTGTTTGTAGCTCTCCTTGTTTTTAGACTACACCTCATTAACTGTTGACACATTAGTTGAAATAACTTTTCTCTTTGTGACTATGTTATCAATTTTGTGAGTATTAGATTCATTTGTTTTTTTATGTTCACTTCTAGTATTTGAAATACTTTCCTTCTGCTTTAATTTTACATTTTTGATAAGTGAACCATTAATATGGCTCAAACCTCGAAAATAGAAGATGGACTTAAGAGAACTCTCTCTCAGCCTGATCCCTTCCACCTTATACACCTTTAATAACTATTTCTATTTTGTTTGTTTTTATAACAGCTTTACTAAGACATAATTTACATATCAAAAAATTCACCCTTGCAAAGGTAGAATTAAAATTGTATTAGTATATTCACAGAGATGTGCAACAATCATCATGATCTAATTCCAGAACATTTTCACTACTCCAAAAAGAAATATAATCACTAGCATTCACTGCACATTCCCTTCCTTCTCCCCACATTACAGCCATAGGCAACCACTAATCTATTTTCTATACTAGATATTTAATATAAATTGAATCATATGTGTCCTTTTGTGTTTGGATTCTTTCACTTGGCATGTTTTCAAAATTTCGCCATATATCAATAATTTCTTTTTTCATTTTATGACTGAGTAATGTTCCACTGTATATTTATCCCAGACTTTATTTTTTTCAGTTCATCAGTAGACAGTTGTTTGGGTATTTCCAGTATTGAACAACTATGAATAATGCAGTTATGCATATTTTGTACAAATTTTTGTATGATCACATGTTTTCATTTATGTTCAGTATATACTTATGAATGGAATTGCTGGGTCAGGTAGTAAATTTATGTTTAATGTTTTGAGTAATTAGATTTTTATTTACATTACTGCACTTAATGCGAAAAGTAAGAAAATATGTACTTATATTATTATATAATCTCATTTCCTTTTTTTTTTTTTTTTCAAAAAGATAGTTGGTATAGACCCTCTTTTAAATACTGGATTTTTGCTACCGCTTATTTGTTCTATATTCTTGAAATTTAGAATGCATTTTAAAAATCAATACAGAAACAAAGTTCACAGATAGTTTCCTCATTCTTTTTTTTTCTGACTGTACAGTACTACATTGCTTAGGAGGGTCTCATGAAGATTTAAGTCTGCTATCACTGCTGAGGCCTCAGTTTGCTCCCTACCCATATAGCTAAGATCTCTCTTGTCTCACCCACTGCTCCCCTTAGCAGTGTATTTCAGTGAATCTGTTTTTTTTTAAATGCAAATTACTCTTTATTGGTATACCAGTGGATACAAATGGGCTATAGTTCTTCCAAATTTTCATGGAGATATCTTTAATGTAATTACATTTTCCTGTAATTTCTTTTACTCTGTTTTTATGTAGCATATTAAAAATTTGTCTTAGCAAGTTTCAGTTTTTTTAGTTTGTTTTTTTAATAATAGAACAGTTTATTTTTACATCATTTTGTACATATTTTTTTTTTCATCTCAATTGTAATCCCTGTGAGTTTCCCATCACCAAGTCACCCATGTGCCATCACCATAGTCGAGTGCACTTCCCTGCCCCCACTGTTTTGACCCCATTCCCCACTCCACCCCCCATAAAATGTCTCTAGTATATAGCTGTTCATTATTATTATTTTCTCGCCTGGTCCATTATAATCCAGCTATCAGCGAAAGCATCTGGTATTTTTCTTTGTCTTTCTGGCTTATCTCACTAAGCATGATCTTTTCCAGCTCCATCCATGTTGCTGCAAAAGGCATATGTTTATCCTTTTTGATTGCTCAGTAATATTCAATTGTGTATATGTACCACATCTTTTTAATCCAGTCATCTACTTTTGGGCATTTGGGCTGCTTCCATGTCTTTCCAATCATAAATAAAGCAGCAATAAACAAGGGGGTGCAGGTATCTTTTTGAATCAGTATTTTTGTGACTTTTGGGTAGATACCTAAAAGTGGGACTGCTGGGTCATATGGAAGTTCCATGTTAAGCGAATCTGCTTGTTTTTTTTAATCAATCTGTCTCTGGTGAGTCCTCTCACCCTCCACCCCTCTGGCTTCCACCCCTGTTCTTCTATAAAATGAGTAAATAAATAAATAAATAAATAAATAATACTATGTTGTTTGAATATATTATTAGTTAATCAACTAGTTCCCTATTTTAGGTATTTGCATTTTTCCTAATATTTTGCTGATAAAAAGTATGTTATAGTAACAAATTTTGTGTATAGATCATTGTGTATTTGTGGGAGTGTACCTTCAGAAAAGATGTTAAAAGTGGAACTGCTGGATCAAGTTGTAATTGAATTGCAAGTTTTATAATATTATCAAATTCCCCTCCTCTAGGTCCATATTGCATTAATAATAGCAGCAATTTATTAGAATACCTGTTTTCCAAAAGTTTCATTAACAGCAAGTCAAGCCTTACAATTTTCTAATGAATGCTGGCTCATTTGCATTTTTTATTATGAAAATTGATTATATACTTAAGAATATTTATCTTTCTATTTATGTGGGATTTGTGTGTATGTGTGTGTTTCTTGCCCTTTTTTTCCCCTAGAGATTTTGAGAACCAAGTTTCTTGAAATAAGGCAGGTAGTCAGTGTTTTTGTAAATGGAGGCAGGAACCTCTCACTTAGCAGAAATATCCTCAACTAAGTCCTTGACTACCACAACATGCTGAGATTTTTATAAAGTTATATAAATCTCATATAGAAAGATTAGGTAGTCCAATCCCATTATATTATAGGTGAACAAGCTGAGGCCCCAGAGAGTGAGTGTGGATTTTTTTAGTTCACATAGCAAAATAAAGATAGAGCTGGAAATTGAACCTAAAGTCTCTTCCCCCAGGGCAACATCAAATTAACATGCAAATTGTTTTATGTGCCTATATTTTGTATTTTTACTGAGATTACTGCAAACAACACTGTAGAAAGAAAATACCTCAACATTCTCAACCCAAATTGCAAGCGTTAGCAATAAATACAAAAGCCATCATCTTGTTATTCTTCCTGTTTATCTATATAGAATATAGATAATACAGAATGATAGAAATATAAAAAGGAAGCCAATAAATTTAGAACATCATAGCTGAATCAGATCTTAGAGATATTTCATTAAACAATATCAGAGAACCAGAGATCCAGAGATCTAGTTTTCAGGATTTATCAAGATGGGGGGGGGTTGGGGTTCCAGGGAAAGGGACCCATTTAGACTAGAGATCCATCTTCACTAAGGGCCTCAGTTTTAGGAGTTCAGAGGAGCCTCTCCAAATGAGGTTAAATATACCAGAACTGCATTTTTTTGGATGTGCTTCCAGTTTTATTTTGTTAAGCATAACTACCAAAAATATATCACAATTGTTATGGTTTTATTTCTTTACTTTTTAATATACCATAAGTGACCTTGAGAGTGATCTGCCCATGGTCATAAGGAAAGGTAGTAGCAGAACTGAAACATTCAGCAGAACTGACTCCTGGACAGAGTGTTTTCTGCTGCCTCATACTGCTTCCTAACAAGAAGCAACTGGCCTTCGTGAATCTAGCAAATTAAACTTATTCACAATATTGAACCCTCTGTCTAGGAAGCACCACAGTGGGGTACAGGCATCCCTTCCCTTACACCTTCCAATCTTGAAACCCAATGCTAGGCCTAATTTCTGGAATGCTATTATCTATTCCTTCCTGGGATACCATATCCAGGTAAAGAAAAAAATTGACCATAATCTTAACAATGACTCCGATTTCTTGAGAATCCTCCATGTTCCATAAACTTTACCTGTGTTCATCCAACTCTATACAGCAGCCTTGTATGGAAGGTAGGATATTCTTTTTATTTTACAAATTACCAGAGGCAAAGAGAGGATTTCCAAAACTATATAACTAAATAAGTGGTAGATCTGGAATTTAAAACCAGGTTTATTTGACAGCAAACCTATGTTGATCCTACTGTATATTCTCCTCAACTGAGTTACTCCTTTAACTGAGATGCATGAGTTAGGAGGATACATGTAAGTGTCAAGGAAAATCACAGTGCGTTTCTCACAAAGCACTGCCCAGAATAAAGCAGTTGGGGAGTGCTTTATTAAAGGCTGACAGGCAGCTTCTCTGCAGTCCTAATATTAGGCCAGTACTCTAATAAGAATTTTCCCTGAGGGCCCTCCGTGGTGACACAGTGGGTTGGAGCACTGCACTAAGAAGCTTAAGCCAATTCCGCATGAGTTTGATCCCTGCCTGCCCTGAGGAGATCCACATGGCGTGGCAGACCTCTCCTGACCTGCCCGCTGCTCCCCTCAGCAGTGTACTTCGTTGATCTGCCTGTTCTGCTCCCCACTCTGTTCCTGGTGAATCCTCTCACCCTCAGCATCTCTGGCCGGTACCCCAGTTCTGTATGAATAAATAAATAAATCTTTAAAAAAAAAAAAGAATTTTCCCTGAAAACCCAGGAGTTACTTACTTGACTAAGTGTCTTATAAGAAGTTCCAGCATTTCCCGGTTCTTTTCTGGTAGCTTATATACCAGGGAGTGAATAGCTCCCAGTCGGTAATCCAGATTGTCAGACTCTGAGAAAGAACAGAGAGACAGAATTTTGTCTTCTGGGCAACTGTATCAAGCAAATTCTCACACATAGACAAACATATGAACACACATAGAGATAGAGAGGCAGACATAAAGAGATAGATGGAAAGAGACAGAGAGGTAAATAGATATATAAACACAATGGCAAAGAGAGGACAAGAAACAAAGACCCTGTGACAAAAAGAAAGAGACCAAAATGTAAAAGAGAGATAAAATCAAACAGGCTTAGAAAGGTGAGTTAGTTAGAAGGGACAATACAAAGATGAAATGAAAAAGCAAGACTGTCTCATAGAAAGATGTATCGGGAACACACCAGCACATTCCCCAAAACACACTGAGATAAACTGAGTTGTGGAACTGGTTTGCAAGGCAAGACGCTGCTACTCAGTGAGCAGTACTTTTGTTATTTATTAGCATTATCAAGCAAGCATGATTGATTGTACAGCAAGTGCAGGAGGAGCAGGATCTAGGGGAGAGAAGGGGGAATCATTTTTCATGGGGAACCAGAGGGGATATGCTGACCCCACATACGGGGGGGGGGGGGGGGGGCTTCCTGTGCAAGTAGCAGGATGCACTTTAAGTAATCTCTGAGCTATTCCCAGACCACCTCAGACCACGGTCACACAATCAGTCAATGGCTACCCAGGTGTCCCCAGGCTTGCCTCATGATGTAGGCCATTTTCTTAGGGAAGTCATGCAGGAAAGCTTCTTCTAAACCCAAAACACACAGGTGCATAGAAAAGCCACACAAAGCCAGAATTCTGCATACACAGGTTGCTCCTAATGTTCCACATAGCAACATTCATATGGAAGCCCTGGCCCACCTGCCCTTATTTGTGGTATTGAGAAGTAGCCTGTGAAAATCACTAAGAGAACTCAGAGTAAAGATCAAAAGTCTCCTGTCTTAACGAATATCCATTATGAGGACAGGGCCTCCGAATCTTTCCCCCAGCACACCATACAGGGTACACTATAGAACGGCCACGTGAAGGTAAGGAGGCTTACTCATCTAGTGACCTTACACAGAACTTTTAATGCTTCTTTAGCATTAGAGATGCATTATTTCTCATTCACTTCTCTTCTCCCACCCTCAGTTTTATCATCCAGAAAATATAATTCTATTGATGACAAATTGGGTGTAACTGTTCACAACATAACTGAAAAGCATTTGAAAAGGCAAAGTGCTCAAAAAACACTAATACAGCAATGGTAATCAACCATTTTTTATTCCCTCATTTAAAGGGAGTCAATAACCTTTTTTCTGTTAGAAGAAGCACAGTCAAGTCTGCATACCTGTAATTTTCCTCAAATTAGTCTATTTTCTTCAACAAATTCCAATAACATTAACTTATGAAAAATAATGCAATACTGAATTAGATAGCCAGCAGGAAACTCTAGAACAAAATCTGTGTATGTGCTTTTCTATTTTCCTCAATTATTTTCCCTCAAGAAGTTTTCCAGGATTGTTGCTATAAAAATTATGAACCCAGGACAACACAATTAGCTAGTAACATAAATACTTACTGGCAGCAGAGACCAGCTCTTTGTGAAGTCTATAGGTCATGACAGGTTCAGAAAGATTCCTGAAATTAATGAACACTGTAAGTCCTTTTGGAGAGGAAGTAGCCAGACCTCAGGTTCTCAGTTCTGTGGGCAGTCAGGTTGAAGTTTCTGAGCCTGACAGTTTAATGTGACAGCGTAATTTTTTCTCTCCACTTGAAGCTTTGTCAAAGGAGTCCTAGTTGCTAGTAATTCAACAGAAGACTTGCAAAAAGTAAGGGCTGAGAGCACTAAAAAGGTCTGCAATTAGTTTTCAAAAATGAAAGTCCTACAAATTTCCAAAGCGGACCCACTCTGAAAACTATTAGGAAGTCTTCATAATTTGATAGTCATCTAGTTTCCAAAGTACTGCCACATCAAATAAGAGTTTATTCGAGTGTTCCAATAGTGGAGTAGTTACTCAAATTCCATTTAATAAAGGAAGAAATTGAGTCATCAATAGGGTTCTTTCCTTAGTCAAACAGTATTAGTATCTACTTGTGCCTGGCATTGTGACAGCTATTTGGGAATCCACTGATTTAATAGTCTAGATGAACTGCCATATACAAAATCTGCCATTCAATGCAACAAGTATGATATTAAAATAGAGGTAGGTAGTGGATAATTCAGAGAAAGGAAGAAAGCAAATTTATCAATAGCAGACTCTTCACAGTTCTAAGTTATTTACAAACATTTACATATTCAGTCCTTTAGACAACTTGTTAGGTAGATAATATTATTACCTCCATTTTATACATAAGGAAACTGCGGTCCACAGAAGTTAAATAATATGTTCTAACCATATAGTTAATCCACGGCAGAAGTAGGTACACTGCCTTAAATTCATGCTCTTAAATCACTATGCTATACTGCTTGCTATATTGTAATCCAGACAAGTGATAATAAAGAAACAAAAACAGTGAATTAAGGATAGAAAAACAAGATGAGGAGAGCTCTTTGAAAGACACTAAAGGATTGGGTATGTTGATGGAGCAGGAGACTGGATAGAATAAAAATTAAGTCAAAGAGAAGTGGAGATGGGAAGTCAGAGGGGCTTCATGGAGAGTCAATGCAAGATGTTTACGGGGGCAATGGATGGATTGCCCTTACAATGCTGGGAAGTAAGTATGAAAACCATGACCCTATAAGGGTGATTAAAACCATGATAACAGTTAACACTGTTGAAATAGGGATGGTAACCTGGCAGACATTAGCTACTCCAAGTTTTCCAAAATTTGTCTAGGATAGTATATACAAAGTAGTCTCATAGAATCAGTCATGAAAATATTGATATACTGAGATATTTGAAGCAAAAATTTGTATTTTCCACCTCTACTGAACAATCTGGCTACTCTGGATCCACATGGTTATTCGTGGAAGTAAAGAATATTACAGTTTATATGTAAAAAGGGAACAGTTTTTAAATTAAGTTCAATATACAACACCTTTAATGTGGATCTACTTCTCTCATTTTATAACCTGGCACTTGTGGATATATGAATTTGGAGTCCCTACAGTACAATGAAAAGAGAGAAGAGCCCTGAGAAACATGAGGTAGAAAGTCCATAAAGGGAATTGTTAACAACGGTCAAAGAGGTGAGAGAAAATCCAAAGCAAGAAATAATATTGGCATACAAATAAACGAGAATGTTTCAAGGAGGGCTTGTGAACAGTTTTAAATGATACAGAGAGATAAAGTAAGGTAAAAGCTTATAATTATTTGTTGTGTTTCATACTGAAGGAATCACTAATGATCTTGACAGGAGCAGCTTCAGTGAAGGAGACACTGCAGCAGTTAGATGACAGTGGGCTAAATAGTAAACTGGGAGATTAAGAAGTAGAAATAGGAAGAGTTCACTTCACATATGAAGCTTGGCTGGGAAGGGGTGGAGTATCTCTCTTACTTGACAACCTTGTCTAAATTATGCCTCCAATTACCTATATTGTTAATAATTCCCAATTTTTTAGCTCAGGCCCTTATGTGGTTTTTATTCTTATTATACAATTGCCTACTTAACATCTTGCCCTGATTTCTTCAAAGATAATCAAATTTGAAATATCCAAAATTTAACTTGTCATCTTTAAACTTTCCATTGTATTTTCTAAATCAGTAAAGACATGATTGTCATTTGGCTGTATGAAACACAAATTTGTGTTTTGTCTGTCCCTCATCAATATACTATTATCACTTGAAGGTCATGGGCCATACCTATTCAACTGTATGTTTACTGCATATCACCATGCTAGGCATAGAGGAGGCATAAAGGAAACGTTTTTTGAATGACTTAGTGAATGGAAGAATAAAAGACTCAGGTTTATGGGGATGTGCATTGCTGGAGCAAGTTCATGATAAGAGGAAACAGTGGGTTGAATGAGAGAGGTTAAAAGATACAGAAGGCACAAGTGATGATATTAGAGAACTCTTCTGGAAATGCTGGAGAAGAGGGACTAGGCACCAAGAATACAGATAAAGGAGGTCCACTCTGAGAACACTGATATCTTTGAGATATCTAAAGGGTGTTGACTGGCTTGTGCATATTAAAGGTCCATGGAATCTTAAGGAAAAAGACATCACTGAGGTACTGCCCACTCACACCTTCAATCTTGATCTTCCCATTCTTTCAAAGGGGCCATGATACTTATAATGGCATAAGTAGGGAAAATTTAATGTGGCGAGGAACTTAAGCTATGTCATCTTTGAAGAAAATGATTCCTTTGTTACATTATGGAATAATTTATTCTCAGTACCTGTATAATTGCAAGTCTTCTGAAGAGCATGCATATCAGATTGCTGTCTTTACTAAATTACCAAAGCAACTCCAAGAAAGCCACAGCTCCTTGAGGTGAGAATAGTGGGAAAAGATGCTCCAGCACTGGTGGTCTTAAGTCAGAAATACTTAGGTTCAAATAATGCAAGCTGTGGTAATAAATACTACATAATGGTAGAGTGGTTTGCTTCAATTTCTTCATCAGCAGTATGAGTACAGTACCATTTACCTTACAGGGTAATTATGAAAAGGAACAATGATACTGTCAATGTAAGCAACTAGAACACGGCATAGCACAGAACAAACCCTCCAACAGTAATACCTTTCTTCTTTGGCAGATTCAGGAAAAATACTCCTAGAAAGAGCATTCACATTAACATACATATCTAAGATGATATTACATCAGAAAATCATTTAACAACTGTATTTGGAACCCTGTTTATTTTTAATTATTTAAGTACCTTAATACCAAAAGAGTAGAATAACTGAAAAGAGGACCTTTTATCATGTGAAGTACGGTGTATACTACTAGCCAGAAGGGATGGTAAACATGCTAATACCAGATGATATCACATAATATAAAATTATATTGATCACTTCAGAATGTATTCATCATTATTGTACATTCCCAGATTTTGCAGGTAGGTTAAAATTTTTTCTACTGCTTTCAATTCATTTAATTCCAACATTTAATGGTTGTGTTTTCTTAATATTCATTTATGTTATATGGATTAGGGATATAAAGCAAATTCATCAACAAAACACACATAACTGGAAAATGCAAGTTAATGTTTAAGAATACTTATACACTAACTTCTTAACAATCTTGAACTGTCACAACTTAAAATTTTACTAAAGAGCATAATGTGGCATCAACTGATCCAAAGACAATGATAAACTTCAATTATTTTAAAAGCATTTTGAGTCATTTTCAATAATAATTCTATGATTTTGATGCTTTCCTTGTTTAAATTTCCAGATATTTTTTTAAGTCTGCAAATGTACATTTTTCTTTAACAAATATTTTTCAATATTTTTTTCTTTAGCAATATTTTATTGCCCTCTGAAACTGGAATTACATTAACTTTTATCTCTACACAGGCAAATTTTATTGCTTAAGAAAAGCAGTCCTAAATCATAAAAGGCATACCTCAGGTAGAATTTCAAGGAGCTAGTGATTGTCTTAATATCCCAGTCACTGTTGTAAAAATCAACATCTCCTGGACATTTAGGATCTATTTGAGAGAGGAAAAATAAGAAAAAAAAGTCAATGTTCCAAAAGATCTTACTGTTAACATCTTTAAAGAAAAATGCACTGCATTAATTAAAAGATAGTTTTCAAGAGATGAAAAATTTACAACTGTATTTAATGGGTCAAAAATTCTCCTTCATTCCAGTCTAGCATGAAAGGAGCTCAGAAATCATCCCTACAATTCAGTCAAAAAAAAAAAAAAAAGGGAAGTGGGGGAGTTAAGAACAAAGAAGGTAGGATGTACAATGGTCTATGGTGTTGACTATGAGTGAGTTGGTGGTAGATGCACTATGGTGGCAATGCCTGATGAGGTACCCAAATATTACCACAATTAAAAACTAATAAAAACAAGAAAAAAACATAATAAACTGAAAATCATGCCTTCTTACACACATCAGAGAACTGAGATAACAGGGTAAACTATTATATTGAATATTGAAGTGACAGACAGGCAGACACAGGGAATTAAAATTTACTACATGAGATGAAAACTCCTTGGCAACCAGTACTGAGGTAGGAGAATCAAATCTTTAATTTACTATTTACTAAGAAGTTCAGTGTGGAAAAATATTGCAGAATTAAAAATTCTAAGGGTGTCCAATCCTAAAGGGATATATACAATTTTCCAAGTTTCAATTCCAAGAGTTCTTTGAGAGGGGAAAGGAAAAGTAGCCTATTAAAACATATGTACAGAGCATTCTATTCTTCTAAAAAAAAAAAAAAGAAGAAAAAGCCTATCTTCAGAAGAAGCTATTTTATCAGAACTTCATGTACTGGGGACTGACCAGAAATGTTGTGACCTAGGAAAAACAAAATATCTGAGTTCAAAGTGAAGCATTGTAAGGCTGTAGCAGCCTCTGCAGCAGCAGTTCCATCCCCACAGGGGAGATGACACACATGGAGTGGCAGATGTCTCCTGACCTACCCACTGCTCCCCTCAGCAGTGTATTTCAGTACATCTGCTTATTCTGCTCCCTACTCTGTCTCTGGTGAATCCTCTCACTCCCTCACCTCTGGCCTGTACCCCCAGTTCTTTATGCATTAATAAATAAATCTTTAAAAAAGAACGTTATAAGTACTTATGAAGGGCATAGGCTTGCTAAACGACTGAAATTCATAATCATAGCACTACTGAAAGTTATCTGTCTCCCCATACCTTACCAACACATCAGTAGGCCTCTTGCGTTATAACAAGAGACTATGACGAAAATGACTCTGCTTCTCAGACAACAGTTAAGTCTAGAGAAATCAAAGGACAAATAAGGGAAGAACAAAAATCAAGTACACCAGAGGAAAGTTTAGAATCTAATACACAGGGGAAACCTAAACAGATAACAATGCCAGCCGCCCCCCCCCCCACATACAAAACAAAACAAAATCACAAAATCTGACAGCAAAGATCTATTTCCCATAGGTCCTTTTACCCATTACATCTGGTGGGCACCAGAAAACTATAAGCCATAGTAATGACCAAAAATACAGTGTGACAAGACACAGTGAACATCAAAACCAAAGAGATGGCAAATGTTTTGGAATTATCAGACTGGGAATTTAAATCAACTGGGATTAATGTGCTTAGGACTGTAAAGGATAAGTAAGAAGTCATAAAGGAAGAAATGCATCATGTAAACAGCAAGATACGAGCTTTAAGAAAAAAATCAAAAGGAATTTCTAAAAATCAAAATCACAGTAACAGAAAGGAAGAATCCCTTTGATGTGTTTTAACAGTGGACTGGACACAGTTAAGAATATGACAGATAAGAAGAAATGTCAATAGAAACTTCTAACACTGAAATAAAAAGAGAAAATGATTTAAAAACAACAGATTATCAAAGAACTGTGGGTCAAAAACAAAAGGTTTACCATGCTTTTTTTTTTTTTTTAAAGATTTATTTATTCGTACATATAGAACTGGGGTACAGGCCAGAGGCTCAGGGGCGGTGAGAGGCTTCACCAGAGACAGAGTGGGGAGCAGAACAGGCAGATCGACGAAGTACACTGCTGAGGGGAGCAGCGGGCGGGTCAGGAGAGGTCTGCCACGCCATGTGGTCACCTCCAGGGCAGGCGGGAATCGAACTCATGCGGAAGTGGCTTTAGCTTCTTAGTGCTGTGCTTTAACCCGCTGCGCCACCAGGGAGGGCCCACCATGCTTTTTTTTTTAAGATTTATTTATTTATTCATATAGAACTGGGGTACAGGCCAGAGATGTGGAGGGTGAGAGGATTCACCAGAGACAGAACAGGGAGCAGAACAGGCAGATGGACGAAGTACACTGCTGAGGGGAACAGCAGGAGGGTCAGGAGAGGTCTGCCTCGCCATGTGGATCTCCTCAGGGCAGGTGGGAATCGAACTCATGCGGAAGTGGCTTAAGCTTCTTAGCGCTGTGCTTTAACCTGCTGTGCCACCAGGGAGGGCCAGGTTTACCATACTTTTAATTGGCATACCAACATGGAGAAAAAAAAGAACAGTGGAAATATCTGAAGTAGCAATGACTGAAAAGTTTCCCAAAATAATGATAAACACCAAATAAAAGAGTCAGAAAACACTAAGCAAGATGCATACAAAAGAAATTTATATGATATTCATACTAAACAAAATCAAAGACAATTAAAAAAATGCTTCTAAAAGCCCGAGGAACAAAACACTTTACTGAATAAGATCAAGCAAAAATACTGTATCATACTTCTTTACAAAAACCATGCCAAGCACAAAGAAGGAACAACATATTTAAGAAGTTAAATAAAAATACTAGCCTGAATTCTGTACCCATCAAAATTATTCTTCAAAATGTAAAAAGAGAGATATAAAGACTTTTCCAGATAAACACTGAGGAAATTTGTCACCACCATACCTGCCTTGCAAGAGATATTTAAAAGAAATTCTTTACAGAAAAAGATTTAGGTCAACAGCTCAAATCCATATAAAGAAGAGAAAGAGCATTAGAGGAGGAATAAATGATTTTTCTTATTCTTAACTGATCTAACAAGTTAAAGCTTCAAAAGATAATAGCAATAATGTACTTAGTGATTATACCTTATAGATAAGCAAATGAATGGCAATATTATTATATTACAACTTACTGAAGAATAGAGTTGGGAGTATGCTGGTATAAAGCACTAATACTACCTGTGCACTGATATACTATTTCAAATTACTGGATTAGTTGTAGATGTAGGCTGTAAATGCAAAGGCAACCACTAAGAAAAGTTGTAAAAAAATCATACAAAAATGACACAGGGTTAATATCCCAAATCTAAGTCATAAAATTCAACAACAAAAAATCCTATTTAAAAATGGACAGAGGTGGAGTGATGCCACGGCCCCCGCAAGATGGCAACAGAGCAAGGACACTGAACACACTTCCTCCAGGCTCACACAGGACAGATACCATAGACTTACATACTATGAGTTTCAACCCAAATGAGAGCACCCTGGACTCACTAGATGGAAGATAACTGAGGGAGACTCAGCAATTGAGGAGCTCTAACAGGTGTTAGGGAGTGCCTCAGACTGGAGGCTTGCTGTTTTTCTTCCTGCTTCTACCCACAAAACCTGGAGGTAAAGAAAGACAACTCAGCTCAGTGAGTGGAGCCCAAGCTGCAGGGAAAGACTGCTTGGAGTGGTGCACAGAGCCCTGGAAGTGGAGAGGGAAAACTGGCTGATGGCACATCAGGGAGGTTTGCAGCCCTTCTGGCAGTCCCTGCACCCCCCTCCCATTCTACCCCCACCACAGAGGCTGGGAGACTTGTGGCCCTTAAGGCTCTGTTCACCTTCACCTGTACAGGGCACACAGGAGGTAAAGAAAACCAGCTCAACTGGCTTGACTGGCTCCACAGGCCCAGCTGCAGGGAGGCCTGCAACACTTATAATTTGCCCGCACAAGCCCCCCCCCATCCCCCACCCCAGGCACATCCAAGCATAGAGGGAACCCAGGACATCTGAAGACTGCAAAGATCAACTTGTGGGCAAGTGGGAGTTGCAGTGCTGCTACAGCCATGGGGGGAAAACAATAATAATGAACCAGAGACATTTTATGGGGGTAGAATGGGGAATGGGATCAAAAATGGGGGGTGAGGGTTAGGAGTGCACCAGACTATGGTGATGGCACACGGATGAACTGGTGACAGGAAGTCCGCAGGGATTACAACTGAGATGGAAAAAGGCACAAAATGATGTAAAAATAAACTATTATAATAATAAAATAAGAAATAAATGGACAGAGGTATCAATAGACACTTATATTTACCTTGTCTCAAAGAAGACATAGATGGTAAATAAGGCCATGAAAATAATGTCTCTCTTTACTAGAAAAATGCAAAGCAAAACAACAACCTATTATATCACACTCATGAGAATGGCTATGATCCAAAAAAAAAAAAAAAAAAAGAAACAAATATTGGATAGGATATGGAGAAAAGGGAATCCATATATGCCATTTAGTATGTGTGTAGATGGTAGCCATTATGGATTGGGTGCAGATTTCACAAAGAATTAACAGAAATTCTATATAATCCAGTTGTCCCACTTCTATGTATTTCCCTGCAAAGTACAAAAACACCAATTTGAATAGACAGATGCATCCCTCTTTTTATTGCAGGATTTACAGTATCTACAATAGCCAAGAACTGAAAACAACCTCAGCTCCTATCCATTGATGAACACATAATGGAGATATGGTGTATATACAAAACAGAATACTATTTAGCTACAAGGAAGATGATATTGTGTCATTTGCAACAACATGAATGGACCTAAACGGAATTAGGCTTAGTAAAATAAGTCAGGGAGAGACAAACACCATATGACTTTACTTCTTTGTGATATATAGAGAAAACTGATGGTCTGAATAAAGCAACAATAAACTTTTGGATTATAATATCAATTAGTAGTTACCAGGGGGAAGCAGGTGTGGGGGAAAGGGTGAGTAAATTAACAGAAAGGGGGATAGTGACTTAACTTAATAAATTACATACGTGTGTTGAT